GTAGGCTAAAATTCGGACTTCTGGTACGTCGCAAAGTGACGCCAATCACGGCGAATGTTAAACAGCTGACCGAAATTGTAGATCTAGGAACCCGTTGTTCCTTTCGCGCATCGCGGCTTTTGAAGTATTGAATAAACGACGAAAATCAAAAAGATTTAACCAGCTACGGTGATTCTACTGAAAAATAATGGTGTTTTCTGAAACACCTAGTCCATGACGACACAACTGATTCACAAGTGATCCGAATTGTTTGTTTATTTGCAAACAAATAAACCGATTTCTTGAGCAAGTGAACCTTTCTCGATGACAAATAACATAGGATCAAAGCACACGTTAAAAAAAAAACCCACCCCAAAATACTAAATTTTGGACATTCTTGGAAATTTGCATTGGTGTGCTCAAAACAGTCCAGGAATCACTAAAAAATGAACGTTTTTGGCACAAAATTTACAAACTCAAGATTGTTAAGCTGACATGGGGTATGAAACTGCTAATGCAGGTTCTACATCCTATATTTGACATGTGTATAAGTTTTGGAGGAATAAATACTAATGCATCACATTTTATGCACACTAATGTGAGATGTGTGTGTTTTTCCCCACGTTTTGGCAATGGCTCATATAGCTGACTCAGACACCAGTGTAGTAGAGTCAGACACTATCATTGTGTCAAAGTGTTGATAACAAGCATTAAAAATCATGTTATTAAGCTTGCAAAGAAACAAATTTGATAATAATTGAAAATGACCGAATGTCAAGAAACTGCCCGAATCCATGAGAAAAAAAATGTGATCGAACACGTAAATAAATCTGACATCTTTTTCGCACCCACTCAGGGCCTCAATGCCAACAAGCTGAAACAGTACATTCCTGGGGTCATCCAATCACAGGGCTTCCTGTAGCAAGTTTCAGTTTACCTCTCAGGCAAGGCAGATCTAGGAGATATATAAAGCTCTCCACCCCCACCCCCACCCCCACCCCCCCACACAATTGGTTGAAAGCACGGAAATTACCACACAGTCAGGTTTAGTACAATTATATAGTTCAATCAAAATCATCAAATATATTTTAAAAACTATTAATTTACTTCAAACGTAATGTCATTATCGGTGTAAAACGGGGATAAAAATGATCAAGAAAAAGACATGCATGAGAATGAGACGGTAGTGAAAGTAGAGGAATACCGAATAATAATGTTGTCTCATAATCATATTATATCTGTCATTGTGCGTTTCTTTATAATGTAATTCATTTTTTTTCCTTCAAACGCCAAATGCCGTGAATATCTATGGGCTACAATATATTAGGTAAAAAATTTTACTCTGCGCGTCTCAGACCTGCACGCAGATGCACTGATTTGGGTTTTTTTTAAGAGCGGAATGCAGATATAATCAGTTGGCCCTTTCCTTTAACTGTCCAAAATTTGTGGTTTTCCATCTCTTCCGTTGTCGTCACCTTTGCGTTGTGACCACAGCAATTAAAATTCAGTCTGTTTCGCAAATTTTGGAGTAGAAACAACTGCTGCAATGGTCAGGGAAGAGTTCACTGTTCGATGTGATTCCACCTGGAGCGAACTTGTAGGCCTTACCCACCCAGCTTGTGGTGTAAGTTTAAGTGGAGAGTTCAGCATGTAAGTACAATGTTTGGGGAAAACAACAGCTTCAGTCAGTTCACACCCTCTGTGTGGTCCTGTCTGGAGCAAATATTACAGTTTCACAGAGTTTTACTTTTACAATGCAAGTGATCACATTCACGAGAGTGGCCGATCTGATCTTTTATATGACGGGTAGTGCAAAGGTCTCAACTTTCCACTCTTGGTTGATCGGCTGTGCCTGCCTGAGTTTTTGGTCTGTAAATTATGATCTGAAATGCAGGATCTTAGCTGAATGTAGACCTTCAGAGTGAATCAAAGCGGGATATTAGGGATGACTGTTAGTAAATTGTAAAAATTCTGTTTTCTTAAAACAACGGTATTGTAAATGAACCGGGATCGTATGGTAAGTGGTGGGATTTTAGGTGGAGACTACTGTATTATTTCCCAGTAGACCCTGAGAAACATTCTCGGCTTCTCTGGAAACATACAATGCAAGATGCGGATTGCACGCACTCAAAACACTAACAAACGAAACTGATATTGTGGTCCTTATTGCATCAATAGAGAGTGGGTGGTTGGAGGGCGCCACTGGTAGATCCTACTTCTTTTCTTTCCTTTTGTTTCTTTTTTTTGTGTGTGTGTGTGTGTGTTTTTTTACGACGCTCGCAACTGCTTCAGGTCATTATGAGCTGTCAGGACACACCAAACATTTTTCTGTTAGTGGGAAATTTTGAATTTTGCCTGGGTGACGGCTGAAACCTACTCTTATCAATTTTGGACCTCCAAGGGATCTTTAATGTGCACAACTTGCACTTGGGACGAGAACTCAGAGATTTTTCACCCTTGTCCGAGAAGGCTTGTGTAGATCTTATCTACCATAAGATCAGGGGTGCGGCTGAAAGGCAGCATGGCAGTAAGAAGGAGCCAAGGAGAAGCAGTAGAAAGGCTGCAGAAAGAGTCAGGAGCCAGGGGGGGGGGCAAAGGAGGTGTGGGGATGGGGGCAGAAAGTGGAGATGAAAGCAGACGACAGAACATTGTTAGAAAGCTGGAAAGGATGGGAAAGGAGAACATTTGAGAGAAGAAAATTTTCCGTCGCTTCCTGGATTCGAAGTTAATTCGAACCCTGGATCTTTTGAATGAAAGGCGAACACCTTAACCTCTAGGCCACGAGAGCCCCCCTTTGTTTGTTTGTTCTATCTTGCTGTCTTACTTTTTCAAAAAGTTCCAAGTTTTCCCCAGCACTAAATGACCATTATCGTGTCGATGTGCTTCTTTTTACTCAAACAAACAAGCAAGCACTGGACCAATAGAATAATTAACAGCTTTGCCTGCACCTTACTCATGTTAGTGTTGGCGTTTAGTCTTCCTCATGAGCAGAGCTGTTAATTTTAAAGTACTTTTAAAAAGGTACTTTAATACAAATTTAAGTACAGTCTAAAAAAATTTACTTTAACTCTTTCAGGACGCAGTTTTTTGGGGGCCTAGACGTATTTAACTTGTGGCTCGATTTGGCTACACTGGTAGTGTACAAAATAACTTCATATAAACATAACCATCACTCAAAACGTAACATATTATATGTCAAATTGAAGGAAACTGAATGAGGAATACATCCCAACCTGAAACAAGGATTAATTTTGAACAAAAGTATGCATTACAAGGGTTAGAAATGGCGATGGTGATGAGAAAAATACATTTTGACGGAAAAAATTACTTTCACCAAACATGTGAAAGCAAATCAACATAGCTATCTTATCATATATTACAGGCCAAGAGCATAATCCATAAATTTCTGAATGCGCAGTTTTTTTATTTGAAAGCAATATTCCAATTTTTGTTAGAGTCATGATATTTATACAGAGTCCGGTTTCATCGTTTTGTTGATGCAAGAAGTAATTCACGCGTTTTTCCCCAAACCCATGCTTTGACTAAGTGAAACTAGATGTTTACATTTCCTAAGCCCTTTCCAAGTTTTCAATACAATAAAAAGTAATTATAAATGACGGATCGTGTTAAAACAAAACGATACTGAGGCACCCTATTATTACAGCCGATATATTGGCGATACGTCCGCAAGGGGTGTGAATTCGCGCTGAATGGGTGATACGTCCAGAAAGAGTTAAGTACATTTTAAGTACTTTCCTGTGAAATGTACTTGAGTACAAGTACTTTAAAAAAAATATTTTATGAGTGCATTTTGAGTCCTTTTCTTCTAATATTGTGCTAAAACCCTTTAGTGCTAATGCAAAACATCGTATTGAATAACAGATCCAGTATTTATTTGACAAATTGGCCATTTATTACAAAAAATGTAAACAGTCTACAAAGCATTTGAATATATCCACTAAACGTATGGAAATGGTCCATGAAATTGAAAAAAAACCCCAACGAACAAACAGACGCAGCAAGTGAGTAAGTGATATTATGAATAGAATTTGCTTGAGCAAGACAATGTGATCAAATTATGTAAGTCCGTCCAGGAGGTCAGAAAGTTCTACCGGAAAAGTATCCAAATTGGAAAATGTAGAAACAAAGTTACTCTTAAGAAAACATTAAATTGATGAAAATGGCCAGCAAAGAAATGGAAAAGTACATTGAATTCTTCATTTTTTGTTCCGTAAATTATTATCTGAAATGCAGGATCTTTACCGATGGTTGACCTTCAGAGTGAATCATCAGAGCAGGATCTTAGGGGTGACTTTTGTATAGTAAAAATTATGTTTTCTTAAAACAGCAGGATCTCAAGCGAACCGGGCGGTGTGATCTTAGACGGAGACTACAGTACCAGCAGTAGAGAATCTTTGGTGTTAGAAGCCAACGGCAACGTATTCCTAAAGACCAAAGTGGCATCCGATTCGCCTCAGCACCACAAAAACAAGGGCTGTTACTCTAAATAAGCTGAAATCGGCCCAAAATAAAAAAATCGAAAATGGATGCGAAACAAAACTCTTTCCGTTTGCCGGCACTTACCCTTTCATTAAGCCTCAAAAGTACTCAAATTGTTCTCAAAAATACTCACAAGTACATTTATAAAAAAGTATTGGAGTAAAGTACTGATTCTCAACAATGTACCAGAGTACAGTAAAAGTACCGAAAATTGTAACGTAAGTACAAGTACCGGAGTATTTGTACTCCGTTACTACCAGCTCTGCCCATGAGTTCCTTGCTGAGGGATTCTTATGTTTTCAACATATATGAGATAGGATTTTTGGCAGTTATATTCTCAAATTAAAAAAAAAAAGCAATCACCAGGTACTGATGGAAATGTAATATAATGTGCTTTTGATATTTATCTGTGGAGGCTACATCTACTGATAAGGTTGTTTTAGGGCAGGAGAATTTTAATGAAATTGATTAAAATCCCCCGTCCTCAGAGAGTAACTCTTCATGCATTGGTCTTTCCACAGTGTGCGTCCAGGGTATAGATATCGATTTTGACGACAGTCAAGATGGATTTTTCTTGAAGTCCCCATACCACAAGTTCAAACCTGCTGAACCGAGTGTCGTGAAAGAATCACTCATCCTCACTCATCCTGCTGAGGTTTACAAGTTGAGGGCCAGCTATGGCCCATTTGAAATGTATCAGGTAGGAAAAAGAATGTGTGTGTGTTAAATGTTTCATCTTCAGGAGTACTCACATGAAGTGTGTAATCCTTTAACCATATGGTATCTCTCTACCCTCAGCGTGCGCATCACGACCTGTGTTGGTGATGACACACACTTCCCTTCTGTGCGCATCGCGACCACCGGTTTTGTCGTGATATGAGTGTAGAAACTATACCGCTGACATGAGAATAGCCATTTTCTAAACTGCTGGTGACTACAGTCCACCTTTGCAACTTTTAGGCAGTCAATGATTGGTTTGGAGTTTTTTATCGGCAATTTTCTGGGATATTGTTTTCAAAATGAAGGATTCGTCAGCTGATTTAGACATAGATTTGCCCAACATTTTTTTGGACTCGGACGACAGTGATGAGGAGTTTGAAGGATTCTATTTGGTCCTCAAAAAAAAAAATTACGTGTGAATGATGGGGATATATCGTAGATCTAGCGAGGTTAAGCCCAGAAGCGTCGATATTCCTGCTAATCTCCAAGCAGGCTGGACTAAAAATTATGAGGATTTTGATACCAACAACAACATCATAAAAAACCACATCTGACCAGACATAAGGGTAGTTCATTATTTAAGACACATTTTTCCTTCTTACTGTAATTAGAAATTATGATAAATAAGAAAGATATGAGCTTATTTTAATAACCATGTTGAAAATTAGCATTTAACTAAAATAAACCCAGCACTGAAGGGAAGTAATAGTAAAAATAGCTTAGGGTTAAGAGGGTTAATGACTGGAACTTAGGACTGCATGTGTTGCTCCTTCTGATGATATTGAATTTGTCTTTGTTGTTACATATGAGAGAATTGGTATTATTCATCAATCCTTTTGTTTTTTGTTCAGTATGCTCTCATGCAGTGCCTTCTATGAATAATTAATTAGCCTTAAATTTAAAACATTAAAAAAACAAAAACAATTCTGAAATTAATATAGTCCATGTCTTTTTTAATGTTGATATATAGTGGTCAATACTATTTTACTACAGTGGAACTCGGATTTAACGAGCTCGGATTCAACGAGATGATATAGATTCCCCGTTTATTTTTCTTCTTTAAAATCAATAAAAGTAAGACGGATTCAACGAGCACTTAAATCAGCGAGCTCGGATTCAACGAGGTCGCTTCCAGGGTGAACAGCCCCAGCAGACGTGGCTTCGCTAAATTTTCTCCTAGAACGAACTTTATCTATTCCTGGAAACCATCCATTGCACCTGCATCGTGAACCATTATTCACTTAACCGATCGCATGCGACCAATCAGCGCCTTTTCAATCAGCGCCTTTTTTCATACCAACATGTGTTGTTGGCACGCGCACGTGTCTACTCTGGCGTGTGTCGGGGTCGGATGGGCGGCCTGCACACGTGTGGCTGTGTGTGCGTGTCGGGCAGAGAGGGGGGGAGGGACGAGCGGACCAGGCGTTGAACGTCGCAGATACAAAGGCGTCAGTCTTTTTTCCCCTCGGCAACTGATCATTATTACAATAATAAGCTAGTCTTGACGTAGATATGCGTAATGAATTATGAATTGTGCGCTGGTCTATGGAATCGATAGTTGCCATAGGCTAGGCTCTACACAGCAACACAACTTTTTGGTAAAGAATCGAGATGACACAGGCGTGTGTATTTGAACGAATCAGTTGGTTTTTTTTACACAGCTCATAATACGCAGGCATTTCAGGCACTACTTGTGAGTTCTCTTTATACATTACTTGCTCAGTGCCTGTAATTATCTACACAAAACCTCGTGTTTCCTATAACGAACACTCGGATTCAACGAGATTTTAGGGCAAGCCTGCCGACCTTGTTGAATCCGAGTTCCACTGTAGTGACTGACATCCAGAGACTCGCTCTTTAGTTACTACTTTGACCCTCTCCCTTGTGGGTGCTCTGGTATGGTTTGCTCCTTTCTTGTGAAACATCTTTCATCATTAAATCTCTCCTCCTCCTCTTCTTTGTACGTTACCCTCTAGTAATAGCCATAATCTCCACCACTTACAACATGACCTATTTGTGTAGCAAGTGCTGTATAAAACTAAGGACTAAAGAGTAAAAGTAAAACTATAAAAATCCTCTATTACTCTTCTACATGGTAGCGAGGATGCTTAGCAGTTTCATTTTGCTATACGGTTTTTGTTTCTTCACTGAGGTCAGGGGGCCAGGAGGATGCAGAATTTAGCAGCGATAGAATATAACGGTGATCTTTAGTGGATTTATGTGGAATGTCGACAGCGGGGATGATGATGGAAGACTGCTGACTTTTTTCTTTTTTTAAAAATAAATTATTTTTTTTGTAGGTTGTTCCAAACGGGATCCTGAGTAATCTTTTAAAGTATGAAGAAACGTTTGACAAGTCGAGCAACCACATGCAGCGGCACATACTCCACAACATGGATGTGAGCGCCCACCTGGTGTCCCATGTCATCTCCCGGTCCAACCCGGTGGTCCAGGTGCTGGTGCACGCGCAGCCTCTGACCCGCCGGAAGAAGCAGGACCTAATCTACAGCTACTACGGCTACAGCCAGCAGTGGTGCGCGCAGATCTTCGCCTCGAAGGGCGACGAGCAGTTCTCGGCGGTGTGCGTGCTCAGCGGGGATGCCCACGCCTGCGTGGCCGGGATCAGCCTCCCAGACCACTGGTGGGATGCCACCAACAGCTCGCTCCTGGGTCTGGACACGCTGGTCTATTACGACATTTCACGCGTGGAGCAAAACCAGGAGTGCGCCAGCGTCTCCAACACCATCGTGCCCGCGCGGGCCGAGGGGCCGACTGCCGGTGCGGAGAAGAAGCTGATCTCAGCGGTGCAGCTGGCGCAAGAGCAGCTTTCTTACGAGGACCACAAGGATAAGGATCTCGTGTTCCGCATCCCGCAGAGCGAGCTCAAGTCGAACTCGAGGTTTGAGGTGCCCGTGCTGTTGGAAAAGAACTCGGCTCTTAAGGAGTTTGTTATTCAGTAAGTGTTAGCATCTTTTTTTGTAAATACAGTGGAATCCCCTTTACTGACCAAAGTTAAATACATAAACAGCGGTAAGCCAACAACCCTTTTTTTTTTTTTTTAAGCAACCAACTGCAACCACTTTGAACTGAAAATATGGCTAAACAGAAGAAAATTGGGTGGTCCTGTAGTTTACAGTTGAAAGCGGACTTGACTGTACTTAAGTTCCATCCTTCAGTAAATCTTTTAAATAGGTCCAGCAGTAGGAGGTTACCATTTTGGTTTTTATTTTACTTTGATGTGACAATTACTAGTTGGATTTTCTTTTTGAGAGAAGCTTATTGTGTTGTACTGGTATTTATTGTATTGTAGTGGTTGAAAAGCAGATGTTAATGATACTATTTTGCTGTGGTTTGCAGGGTGAAAGTTCGTGGGGGCATTGAGATAGAAGGGGCATCGACTGACGTAGCAAGTCCCTGGAGTGTGATTTTTGAGGCGGGAGACACAGACGGCACCGCCTCGGTGACAGCCTTCATCAAGGAGGATGTCAAGTACACCAAGAGTTTCAAGTAAGTTGATGAACATATTTGTGTACAGAAAGTTTGTTTTGCAGTTGCGAGCCCTATAAAACTCTTACCTAACTAAAAGTTTGCATCATGTGTGAAAAAGATATTTATAAGTGTGTAATTTTTCCTGACTAATATTATAAATGCTTGTTATTTTCTTCCTAATTGTTGACATAGTTTTATAGTCTGTTTGGTTTTTTTAATGGAGGCTTTAGTAGTATAAGAGGTACAGTATTTGTCTCACAAGCAACAGTTCCCTGGATTGAAAACCTGTCTACAATGAAAACTTTTCTGCTGCAAAAATTTCTTTTTTGTCCTCCTTCCTTGTTCAATCGTCCTGTTCTGTCATCTGCTTTCCTTTCTACTTTCTCTGTGTGTGTGTGTGTGTGTATTTGTGTGTGTGTGTGTATCTGTGTGTACGTGGCTGCATGAGCGTGTGTATATGTATGTGGCGAAACGCCAAATCAGTGTGCCAAGATCTGAACTATAAAATTTTATCTTTTCTTTACAAAACCGTGTGTATTTTTTCTGTGGCAGGCAAGAGGAGATAATGCGGTGGCAGTTCAGAGTGGCGTCGGGCCCTGACCTCCCCACCACGGCGAGGATCACCTGGATCGTGGACTATGAGAGGAACGGGCTGTTGCGCAACTCTTACTTCTCCCCGGAAGGCTCAAAAGTGGCCGCCAAGTTCAACATCATAAGCAGTCAGCCGGAGAATATTGTGGCAGTCCTGAAGGTAATCCTTGTCTGACTATTTTGTTCTCATGTTGCTATAGACTCATTCAGTGCTAAGCGCTCCAGCAGTGAACTCCCCTCATAAACTGGGCAGTTTTGTTATAGCAACATGAAATTAGGTCTACCCAGGAATATCAATCAAAACTAGCTGGCTCAATGGCTGTTCAAGCGGGAAAAAAGTCTCCTTGACCTTTCCCATAATGCATCACGATTAATTCAAATAACTTGGTATGGATTAGATAGAGTAATTTTTTCTATAAATATAGCGAGGTAGAATGCGAGAATACTCATATATTTTTATGTGAAAGCTCAAATCATAATGATATGGATGGTGAGTGGGGTGGACTGGCGGCACAGTGATTTTTGCATACATGGGCTTTTCAAGGAATTGAAAGGGATCTTTTATAAAAACGAATACTAGAAAAGTTATTTTTGTGAATGGCAGCCTTGCCTCTTACCCTTTCATAGGGGTCCAGTTCCTTTAATTATTAGAGCTTAAACATTTTTGAAAATCAAATCAAATGTTGAGATAAAGGAAATAGATAACCCAATTGCTGTCTGTTTTCAGAATGCAAACTATATTTAGCAATAGTTCTTGTTGCTTTTAATGTTTGAGGAGTTTACAGAATGAATGAAAATATAAAAATTACAGGTAGTTGGAATAATGATAATTAAGTAATAGTGAAGATTATAATGATAGTGGTAATGATAATAATGAATTGCATTTGTATAAAGAATTGTTCACAAAATAAAACTCTGTCGGCACAGGAGCGGAGTATTCTCAACACCGCCATTCTGACTGGAAAGCCAGTGACCCATGACCTGATGATATTCAGTGTCTCGAGTGACAGTTCTTTTCGGGATGTAACTAAAGACTCCAGTTGCAGATCCACTGATCCAGAGGCTCTGAAGGTTGGTCACTTTTTGTTGTTGTTGTATTGATAGCCTGTACGTCCTTTCATGTTTTATTATGGAGGTGGAATATCAGATATGACGGGATGCTTTGAACAAATTGTTCCCCTGTGCTTCAACTGTAGAATAAAACCTAGCTGTGCTCTGATCTCTTACTAAAACAAAAGAATAAACTGAACAAACCACCAAAAAAATTCATGAAGTTCAATCCTCCGTCTTGTACTGGGTACCGCACTTGCAGTTGGTTTTGTCATACCAGGTTGCAGGCCCATGGATTTTGCAATTGCAGCTGGCATTTCTTTCCCATTGTCGTGTTGAAATGTGTTCACTGGGCGAAGAGAGTTAAAATGAAGTGATTCTGTGGCTCGTGAAGATGGAAAATTCAACTAAAACCCTTCTTTTTTCTTTATCCGTTTGAGCTTATCGCCACTGGTAAAGGAAGTGGGAATACATACTGTAATGAAATGCAAAGCGAGTTTTTATTATTTTTTGTACCTAATTGGTTTCTTTTCCTGGAACTGCACACATTTATATCTGGATGTTAATCACTAAGGTGTAGGAGAGGCACACTCTTTACCTTATGTCTTGTCTTGTGTGTAGTTTTCGACATGAACGGCCGACGAGTTGGGCGGCTGGTTAGCTCCCCGGTCAGTCCTGAGGTCATTGTTTACATGTAGGCCCGTGGCCGCTACACAGTCCTACACCAGCACCGACAAGACGGTTCCTTAGTTGAAACGCCGAGGCGGCCTCAAAAGTCTTCTGAACCGTGAGACCTTGGCTCTGGACGGCTGAGGCTCTGATGCCTTTGATGGAGGCAGACCACGCCTGGAGGGATTGGCAACCTGAACAGGTTCAGAATCGTCGACATGAGCTGGTTTCTGTTGATCAATGGAGACATGCTCCTGATGTTCGCCAATATCCAACAAAAAAGCCTTGTCAGACGTCCAAAACCTTGTATGGTCCAGTGTATGGACGTTGTAATGGTTTTTGATGATCGTCACGACGAACAAACACAAAGTCTGATGTTTTTAGCGAAGACGGGACATTTGAAACCGGTCGGCTATGTCGAGCCGTTGGTTTGGAGCAAATTTCTTAACACGTTACCGGAGTTTGTGGAGAGCGTGTGTCGATGCCTTTGCTGCCTCTGAAAAAGGGAGAAATTCACCTGGCACAGTGAGGAGCTCTCCATAGATGAGCTCTGCCACCGAAGCTTGAATGTCTTCCTTGGGAACTGTGCGGAGCCCCAAAAGTGCCCATGGCAGTTCGTCCGTCCAATTTGGTCCACCGAGTCGTGTCTTCAATGCAGCTTTGAGGGTACGATGGAAATGTTCTACCTGCCCATTTGACTGGATGATACGTCTTTGTATGATGCATTTGTGGGCCCAATTGTTTCGCAATTTCAGTCTACAAGGCTGACGTGAACTGCGGGCCTCCATTAGACGTGACATCTTGAGGGACACCAAAATGCATTATCCCTCCGTTGATGAGGACGTGGGTCTAGTCTGCTGTTGTGGTGGTATGGAGTAGGATGGCTTCTGGCCGACATGTTGCCCTGTCAATGATCGTGCAGAGGTGCGTGTAACCATTTGATGGGGCAATGGTCCGACCAGATCTGCGCGGATGTTAGAAAATATTTTTTTTTGGAACAGGAAATGTTTCAAGAGGCGCTTTGGGGTGGTTTTGTACTTTGGAGGATTAACAGACGAGGCAATCTTGGGCCCATTTACCAACCTGTTTGCGTAGACCTTGCCAAACGAACTTTTGAAAGATGAGTTTGACTGTTGCTTTTCTTCCTGGGTGCGAGATGTTGTGCATGATATCAAACACTTGCCTCTAAAACTGTGGAGGCACTATGGGTCTTGGATACCCAGTGGAGATATCGCAAAGTAGTTCTGGGCCTCCTAGTTCTGTAGGTACAGACGCCACACATATATGCTCGTTGAGACCATATGAAGTGCCTGTATGCTTTCATTGTCCTGGGCAGTAGCCATGGCCTAATAGTCCAAATTGACCTTAAGAATGGACCGAGACAAGAAGTCTGCAATAACGTTGGATTTACCTGAGATGTGCTGCACATTGGTGGTAAATTCAGAAATGTATGCGAGCTGACGTTGGCGTGCGGACCAGGGCTCAGAAATCTTGGACATAGCAGTCAAGGGCTTGTGGTCGGTGAAGGCCGTAAAGCTTCTGCCTTCTAACATGAAACGAAAATGTCTGACGGCCAAGTAGAGGCCGAGTAGTTCGTGGTCGAAAGCAGTGTACTTCTTTTCGTTTTGGACGAAGGCATCGGCGGAAGAATGCCAAAGGTTGCCTGGACCCATTGTGTACTGCTCTAACACAGCTCTTACTGCTTGGTCAGAGGCGTCGGTAGTCAATGCAATTTCGGCATCGGCCTGGAGGTGAGAAAGCGTGGTAGCTGTTGCGAGTTCTCGCTTGCTTTGCTGGAAGGCTTTGGACATTTCTTGAGACCAAGAGAGTGATGATTGCTTTCTTCCTGCTTTCAAAGCATCATACAGTGGGGTCATAATCTTTGCCGCGCTAGGGATGAAGCAATGGTAAAAGTGGATTATGCCCAAGTATTGTTAGAGGCTTGTGACCGTGTTGGGTTGCTGGAAGTCTTTTATGGTCCTGACCTTGTCAGGAAGAGGAGTTGATCCTGAGGCTGTGACACGGTGACCAAGGTAATCCATCTCATGTACCCCAAAAAGACATTTCTCTAACTTCACCACCAGACCTGCCTCTCTCAGTCTCTGACAGACTGTTGGGAGATCGTCCAGGTGTTGTCTTTCAGACGAACTCGGGACCAGTATATCGTCCAAGTACACAAACGTGCAAGTGAGATCTTGTAGGACCGAATCCATAAGCCGTTGAAATGCTTGTCATTTTTAATTCCAAATGGCATCCGAAGAAACTCGTAGAGACCAAAAGGGGTAATGACAGCCGTTTTTGGGATGTCCTCAGGAGCGATCTTTGAGAAAATAGTTTTGCCTACCTGGTGAGCTGAAAAATCCTGTATGTAGGGGATCGGGTAACGATCAGGCGTTGTGTGGTCGTTGAGCCTTCGGTAATCTCCACAAGGACGCCAATCTCCATTGCTCTTTTGGAACCATATGAAAGGGTGAGGCCCAAGGGTTGCTGGACCTGCGGATGATACCCATCTCTTCCATATTTGCAAATTCTATTTTCGCAATGTGTAACTTGTCAGGCGGCGTGCTCTAGCGTAGTGGATTTGTTGTTGTTGTTATCAATCCAGCAAGTGCTGAGCACTCGCCTTTCTGTCCAATGCCATGTAGTGATAAGTGCAGGTTTGCTGCAGTTGCTGTAATGTTCCATAGAGTGTGTTGTCAATGTTAGGTCTCGGAGGGAGAAAGGTAGCTCTGATGTCATTTAGGGCTGTGCAGTGGAACAGGTGATGATCCACAGTCTCATATGTATAGTCACACAAGGGACACATTGGGGGAAGGGGGTTTATTCTGTGCTGGTGGAAGTTGAGCTGTATATGTTCTGTTCGTAGGCGGAAGATCGTGGACTATTTCTTTCTCTGTATGTGGTTGATATTGTCATTCCTTTTTGTTGTGGTCATATGTTTGAAAACTGCTCTGACTGTCTTTCCCAGGGCCCATCTGTTCATCCAATCTTGTTTGTTGTTGCTTTTAATGATTTGTTTCGGAGTGTAGTATGAAGTTGGAATGTTGGGTTTTTCCTGTCTTGATCCCCGTTTGGCATGTGTGTTTGCTCTGTCATTTCCATGTATGTTTGAGTGTCCGGGGACCCACTGCATTAGTAAGTTGATGCCACAGGATGTTACCAGATGATGGGAGCCAAACAGTATATGAGTCAGTAGTGGGTATATGGTGCAATACTTCGTATTTCACCTCTGATGCAGAGAAGGTTGGTGGTAAGATTTCTTGAAATTCTGAAAGGACTTTTCGGAAGTTTATGTACTGAGGATCAACAAAGGCTAGCTGTGCTAAAGAAATTTTGCTAATTGTACAGGGTCTCTGCTTCAATCAACTGTTGGCCTCTGATATCCTCCAAAAGGTTGTGTTGGCGAAGGAAATCCGCGCCTAAAAGGGCACTTTTGACCTCTGCGACAACGAGTTTTACGGGTAAACACCTGCTGTTAAGTTTGATGGATATATTGTGCCCACCATCGGTTGGCATGTTGGTGCCGTTGGCTGCGGCCCTGAGGTACCTTGTATTTTCTCTTGCCATTTTGCTTGAGTGACTGAAACCTGTGCCCCAGTGGCGATAAGAAAGCGTTGCCCTGAATTCCCGTCTGTAATAACAAGCTGAGAGTTTTGTGGGCAAACAGAAGCGCCACCGGCTTCTGTTGACCCAGCTTGGCGTTTCCCTGGTTCTGTGAGTACATCTGTATGAAAGCGCAAGGCGGGTTACGTTTCTTTGCCTTCTTGCCGAATTCGGTGTGATACCGGCACAAGGGAGGGGTGTGGTCCCATATTGGTTTTTCTTTGAGTTGCAACACTTGTGACGGGGAGTGTTAAGAGACACAAAGAGTTTGTCGGCTTCTTGTGCCAGAGCGCGGCAGTCACGACCATCGTGTGCTGCAAGGGGCGTCCTGATCTGTTCTGGAAGTTGTTTCGAAAACAGATGTTTAAAAAGAAAACAAGGTTCGTGTGCCCCGAGTAGGGCCAGCATGGAGTCCATTAGCTCGCTAGGTTTTCTGTTTCTGAAACCAGTGGTGTTGAACAGCGCAGTTGCTCTTTCCATATTTGAAAGGCCGTAAGCAGACAGGAGAAAATCTTTTATAGACTCCTATTTGTTGTTGGGGGGGTTCGTAATGATTGACAGCACCCTAGTGGCTGTGTCGTTGTCCAAGGCGGCAACGACATAGAAATACTTGGTGTCATCTCGGTTGATTCCCCGGATAGCGAACTGTGGTTCCGTTTGAGCAATCCAGGCCTGATGTCCAAAAGTTGGGATTTTAATCACAACAGTTCTTCCTTGGGAGCTGGTCATTGTCGTTGTAGCTGCACTGTACCAAAGAATTTCACAAAATTTCACTGAGTCGCTGGTTCGAGCGGCTCGTCGGGGTCACCAATGTAGGAGAGGCACACTCTTTACCTTGGGTCTTGTCTTGTGTGTAGTTTTCGTCTTGAATGGCCAACGAGTTGGGCGGCTGGTTAGCTTCTTGTGAGTCCCCGCTCAGCTTCCCGGTCAGTCATGAGTTGTCTTGTCGGTGCGAGGTCATTGTTTACATGTCGGACCGTGGCCGCTACAAAGGGTTTGTTCTTTTGTAATTTGAACAGTTCGTTTTTATTTAACTTTTCGGGAGTCTATATGATTTTATCTGTTAAGGTCCCCTATTGTAGGAGAGCTTTGAGAAGTTCTCCTTTTTATGGTTGTCCTGAAGGAAAATGCAGTTTTGACATTCAACTTTCTCTCCTCAGGTCTCGGAGACTTGCGATTTCGTTCTCCTGGATGGCACTGAGACAAGAGGGGCACAGAATGTGACAGTTTTAGTGCGGACGGCCGAGCACATGGCCCAGTTGGGTGTGCGGGTGTGGGTGCCGGAGCCCCGGCTGGACATTCACCTGTCTGACCCCAAGCTGAGCCAGGTCCGCGGCTGGAAAGTGGAGAGGAAAACTTCTGTTGTGTGAGTATCTCTATTTTTTAATGGAAAAGATGGTCGCTGGATTATTGACTGATATTGAAAATACTCTTATTTCTAATTTTGTTGTATACATTGCAAAGCTGTAGTTCTTATTAACTCTTTCCTTACATAGTTTTTTTGGGGTCTAGACGTAATTACCTTGTAGCACGATTTGGCTACACTGATGGTGTACAAAATAACTTTATAAAAGCAAAACCATCACCCAAAATGTTACATATGGTATATCAAATTGAAGGAAATTGAATGTGAAATACATTCCAACATGAAACAAGGATTAATTTTGAACAAAAGTATGCTTTACAAGGGTTAGAAATGGCGATGGTGATGAGAAAAATAAATTTTGGCGGAAAAAATTACATTCACCAAACATGTGAAAGCAAATCAGCATAGCTATCTTATCATATACAGGCCAAGAGCATAATCCATAGATTTCTGAATGCACAGCTGTTTATTTAAAAGCAATATTCCAATTTTTGTTAGAGTTATGATATTTATACTTAGTCCGGCTACATCGTTTTGTTGATGCAAGACCGCAATAACTAATTCTCTCGTTTTTCCCCCAACCCACGCTTTGACAAAGTGAAACTAGATGTTTTCGTTTCCTAAACCCTTTCCAAGTTTTCAGTAGCAATAAAAAGTAATTAATAATGACAGATCATGTTAAAACGAAACAATACCAAGGCACCCTATCTCATCACAGCCGATATATCGGCGATACATCCGCAAGGGGTGTGGACTCACGTAGATATATCGACGATACGTCCAGAAACAGTTTAAAATGTTTCTTTGTATGTCTTTGAGTATTAGTGAAATATGTGTCGATTTCTTGTCAGGTATAATTTTCTGGAGAAATATTTCATGCTTTAAAGAGAAAGGTGTATGCAACATGTAATACGTAAGAGCTTATGTAATGTGTAATGATAAAGGAGAAATGTTGCATAGCAGTTGCTGCCAGTTTGAGTTTACTTTTGAGACTGTTCGTCTTGATTTTTATCTCAATCTCAAACTTGTTTATTGTTGCGTGAAACATCGCTTAATAGTTGCCAATAAATACTTTTTTAATTCGTGCTTTTGGGTTGTTGGCGGGTACTCTGGTGAGGTTTGCTCCTTCTTTTCTATCAAACATCTATTGTCCTTATTTGTAGAGTTCATTACTCTCTTCTTGTAACATCTGTAATCTTCAGCACTTATGTGATCTTATTGTGTAAAGCTCTTACTAAAACTAAGACTTTTGGTTTATGGTTTTATTGCACACGTTTAAATGTGAAGGTGGGGATTTTTTTTTTTCATAGGTCAAAGCGTAGCATTGACTTGGGCTTGTTGACCCACTCCAATGTGATCATGGGCAGCCAGGAGCTGTCCCCCCGGCAGAACTGTCGGCACAAGTATCAGCAGTCGATGATTGACGTCTACGCCCGGTTTGTGATCAAGGCTCCGAGCGAGGCCCCCAAATACTTTCGCAACAAGAAGACGTTTGTGCGGGTCACTTCCCTTGTGGAGAACCAGCTGCAGGTGGCCAACCCGAACATTGCCAAGATGGTGGGCACCACGGTGCAGGGTGTGTCGCCTGGTCGCACGGAGGTTCAGGTATAGAAGGCTCTGTTGTAGAGCTTATTGGATTATTATGACTTTTTCTGCTTCTTTGTTTCTTCGATGGATGCCTGGGCAGTAATGTAATGGCCTTAAGGTCTCCATCATTATTTCTTTTTCTTCTTCCTTATTTGCCTTTTGAAAGTTTATTTGTCAAAGCTTTTTCATTGTAATGGCTTTGCAATGTCAAATGCACATTATAGAATTATTGGTTTCCTTTGTTTGGTATGTATGGACTTTAAATACTCCTTTGAAGTTATTTTGTTTATGATAAGGAGGTGGTGTTGTGCTCTTAGCCTTATTAAGAGTTTTACGGCACTTGCAACATAATAGGGTCATATAAGTGCCGAAGATAAGAAGTGTTACAAGAGAGTAACAAACATAAAAAAGAAGGAGGGGAGATAGAGAAGATAGATTTTTTATAGGAAAGAAGGAGCAAACCACACTAGAGCACCCACCAACCACCCACTGTTATGCTCTGACGTGCTATTGACAACAATAAGAATTACAGAGTACAGTTAAAACTGTAGACAGCCTCCCATTGTTAAGGAGAAAAGTAAACGTTCTTGACTGGTGACTGGCTTACAGGTTGTCATTATAATATAAAAAAATACATAAGGCAAGAAATTAGAAGTGGTCGTTTGTACAGATGATTGTCTCATACAGTTGGCCTTTGGAGTAGTTTCCACTGTATTTTTATTTCATGGAAGAAAATGCTTTTCGTTAATTTTTTTGACATTGGGCTTTTTCTTATCAGGTTATCTCTCCCACTGGAAAATTGATGGGGGCTAAGGAAGTCCGTGTCGGGAAAGATAAGGTGGAGATTGAAAGGCTGATGGTTCGAGTCATCAGTGGGATGGCTCTCCACATCACGGAGGACAGAAACCTCCCAGGGGCTTTGATGGCCACAGTGCTGCTGAGAGATCAGCTTGTGGCCAAGCAGCAGGTTTGTTTGGAGTTTTGTGGTTCTTAATAGGTTACTTTTCTTTGGTTCTGTTGATAGCCAGATTGTTATGAACAACTCTGTGTCTTTCTTGCAGTGCTGTTTATGTAACTGCTGATTTAAGGCCAGCTGCTCAGGAGGCCTGTTTCAACGGTTGAGCATTAAAAGAATTTACTTTATAATTTGCCATAAGGCTGTACAAGTTTATTGCTCTTTTGCAATGCAAAGTACATAGTTGAAGGAATGCCTGTTCTTAGTCCTATTACATAATTGTTCTCCTTCCGAGATAGCAATGCCTCCCAGTGTTTTGTTTTGACATTTCTAGCTCATCATAAATTTTTTTTAGGACTATAGTGTTGCATTGTTTGATGTTTACTCGTGAAAAAGTAAAGGCAGAGTCTCTCTAGAAGCATGTTAAGAAGTGAAGGATTTTTATAGTGTGGAAAAGTCGTAAGATACTTACTCATATTTGTACATTTTCTTTTTTACAGGAAGCAGTACTGGACATAGCTGTGGAGTTCAAGGATGGCTCCATGTTGCCTCTGTCGCACATCAACCCATCCGAGTACGACCTGAAGGTGGTGTCCATGAACTCCGACGTGGTAGAGGTCACCGAGTTTATCTCCACGGCTCCTGCTCTGCCGCCGAGCATCAAAGCCGTCGGCAACGGGAAGGGAGAGATCGTCAAGGTCATCCTGCGGGAGAGTGGAATGTGCCAGAGGAAAAAGATCCGAACCCTAGACACGGAATATGTTCATGTTCAGGTGTGTGTTGCTGTCGGTTTCTGTTAGGCTGGTAGTGTGCTTTCTGGTGCGCTGTGAACTGATAGGTCGCACAGCACTCTAGCTTCTGTGGTGTGGCAATCAGGAGTTGCTTTGCTGTCGCATGCAGGAGACCTGATTTCATTTCCCGAGCGGGTAGAACATTTATAGAGTATCTGAGTCTTTCTGCTGGGATGTTGCTTCCCTCTCAACCTGGGTTGGTCCTGGCAAGCAGGGTCAGAAGCCGGCCTCTCAATTGATCGACAATTGTGTTGGGGGGTGGGGTGGGCGGGCCGATGAAAGCCACCTACATATAAAGAAAATAAAAAATGGAACAACACACCATCATCAGCTGAAAACATTCATTATTTATGAAGGCAGCACTCCCATTGTAGTTGGTAATGATGGAACACGGCCTGTCATAGCTACTCTTTTGATGAATGTTTTGCCGATTATATCTTTACTCCGAGGTCTATCAATGTCCTCTCCTCTACCCTCCCCCTCCTCATCCCACCTCCTCCCACTACCCTCCTTCCCTTTTCCTCTCTCTCCCTTCCCCTCTATTAAGTGTGCAGGGTATTGTAGAAGTGTCATACTGCATTGGTTGTAAATCTTCACATGATGCTGAAATTATTTTTTTACGGTGCCTGTTGAAAAGGGTCATAGAAAGCCCCCATTCTCCCAACCCCTCTCCCTTTCCAGAAATTAAACATGCTCACTCTTTAGTTTATTAAAACCTGTTGCTCTAATACTGTAATGTGAATTGGCTGGGGGGGAAAGTCGTCAAGATGTAATAGCGTTTAGTTACCCTCTCTCTCTCTCTGAGAGTGGTTGGCAGGTTCTCTAGTGTGGTTTGCTCCTTCTTTCCTATCAAACATCTGTCGTCCTTATTTCTCCTTTTTTTTTTTATGCTTGTTACTTTTTTGTAACACCTCTAATCTTGGGCACTCATATTGTGACCTATTTTTTTTTTTGCAAGTGCCTAAAAAAATATTTATTAAAAGAAAACTTTCTCTATCTTGGGCACTCTCGTTTGACCTAATTGTGTTGCAAATGCCTAAAAAAACACTTACTAAAACTAAACTCTCTCTCTCTCTCTCTCTCTCTCTCTCTCTCTCTCTCTCTCTCTCTCACACTCTCTCTCACTCCCTCCCCCCCTCTCTCTCTCTCTCTCTCCCTCCCTCCCTCCCTCCCTCCCTCCCTAGCCCTCCCCCCCCCTTTCTCTCTCTCTCTTTCTCTCTCTCTCTCTCTCTCTCTCTCTCTCTCTCTCTCTCTCTCTCTCTCTCTCTCTCTCTCTCTCTCTCTCTCTCTCTCTCTCCAGGTCGATTTTGCCAAAGACTTTGACTCGTACCCGCTGTGGCAAAGCGACGGCAACTACTTCAGCAACCGCGCCGGTGACCGCAGGCATGGCAGCTACGACAAGGACATCTACCAGAACAAGGAGGAGTACTTCAAGCACCAGCAGCAGCAGCACTACAACAAGCCGCGCCAGCACCACCGCCCAGACGCCTCCAGCTACGCAAAGTCTGGGAAATCGGGACCTAAGGTGGAGTAGTTTTTTCTTTCTTTTAGTTTTAGGTTTTTGGTTTCCGTTAGTTTTTGTGGTTTATCTTAATTTAGTTTTGGGTGTTTGTAGTTTTGTTTTGGGTTTTCTCTTTGTTTTGTTTTGGGTTCTGGTTTTTTTTCTTAATTTTGCTCTGGGTTTCTCTTAATTATGTTTTGGGTTGCTCTTAGGTTTAGTTTTTGGTTTCTCTTAGTTTACGGCCTGATGCGGGGGAAGGCCATGGTCAAATGACGCCATTTTTTAGTCTTAGATCGAAATTGGGCTGTAACGGATTCGAGTACTTTGAATGAAATGTCTACGTTCCCAACATGAAGGTCTTATGTCTCTGTCAATAGCTGAACATGTTCAAAAACACTCACAAAGATGACACCCCCGCTTCCTCTAAGTGGAAAAACCCCGTAATTTTTTCCCCCTAAAATGTCCTTTTTTGTGATGTACATAAAGCTCTCCTCATGCCCAGAAATCAGTCGTGTTACACATCATTTTGAAGATTGTGATGTAATTTCGCAAAATGGCGATTCAAAAGCAGTTTGGGGTTGATCATTGATGTAAATAAGTTACAAGTAATATGGCTCTGTTTCCATTATTATTTAGCTGAGAATGATGTGTCGTCATGATATGCAGCTAGATTACTGGGCACGTGCATGTGCAATTTAAAACATGTTTAACTAAGTTCAAATTCGAGTTAATCAGCATTTTGTGAATGAACTCCCCTGACAGTGCTGGTCAAATACCGAAGATTTCGGCCAAAGCCCACATTCATGATTTCGAAATGGGGATCGTCCCCCTACGTCATACGGCCCGCTTCGAGAGCTCGGTAATAGCTGCCGAAGTTCCGGGTACATCTGGAAATTCAATTCCTGAAAAAGTCAAAATTTTGCCCGACTGGCCAATCGTTGAGGAGCTGTTGCACATTTTAAAAAAAAGTCTTGACAAGAGATATATGAGAATACTGTTTCGTGAATTTATAGCCCCCGCGTACTTGTTTTCACGGAGTCGCAAAAGTTCTGGACTTTTTTTTTGGAAGCCAGTTGGCACAACTGCTCAATACAGCCGATCTACATTATCTTCTGGCCTTGACCGGGGCGACGGCGCAAAAAACAGACAGAAGACACCATCAACTCCTCAGCTTCCGCCCTTGGCAGTGCTGCGTCGAGTCGAAGAAACCAAGTGGTTTTTCGAAAGAATATCCATCACCGAAGGAAGGCTTTTTCAATATTAGCAGTATACGAAAGTCTGCCCCAGCGGTCGTAACCCAACTGTAAACCCATCCCCACAAGCCATTATCTCCACTCACTGACCAGCCAAAAAACCCTTTTTGTATTCGTTTGTGAATACAAAAAGCATAACAGCGGTTTGAACAGAGTTCTTGAATATCACGCTCGAAAAATCTTGAACTGTGTGGAGATAAACATTGTACGAAACAAGTTTCTTTATCGTGGTTGTAAACTTAGAGGGATCAATGTTGACATTGTTGAGCAACAGAATGCTGCGAGTGAGACACCAGCGTGGGCGAAAAGTAAGTGGGAGAATAATACCACATCGGTTTCCCCCCTCCCTCCCTCCCTCCCTCTCTCTGTCTCTCTGTCTCTCTGTCTCTCTCTCTCTCTCTCTGTCTCTCTCTCTCTCTGTCTCTCTCTCTCTCTCTCTCTCTCCCTCCCTCCCTCTCTCTTAGGCCCCGCGTCCACTGTGTGCCTTTGCCTGACTACGTGATTTTCCTGCATGCGCGCTTTTTCGGCAGTCGTACAGGGGACTAAGAAAGCCTCGATTCGACTCATTTTGGAAGGAAATTTGCCATTTTAAGTACATTTTTGCTTCTTCATCGCACTTTACGTGATCAATGAAGTTGTATCTCATTATAATATGTTGTACAATAGCAGATTTGTGCTGAAAAACAGCACCAAAAAAAAAGAAATTAAAGCCCTTGACCTAGATCTAGATTATTTAGTTCTCGGGAGAGCTAAAAATAGGCTCTTGATCTAAGTTATCTGTTTAGTGCTTCCAATTTTCTGCAAATTTTTAGTTTTCTCCAGACGTTATCTGCCGATCCAATACCTGCCGCCTCATTAATACCCCCCCCCCCCCCCTAGATCTACATCTCGATATATGTCGTTTTGCCTTTCCTAACACTGTGCTGTAAATATGAAGCTTAATCTACCCTTCGCTGTTGAAAGTTCTGATGGCCGAGTTAACAGCGTGTCTGGGTTTGAAGGCAAACATTATTTTGTGAGTGTGGGTTCGAATCCCAGTTCCAGCTTTTTTTTTTTTTTTTCTCATCCTCCCAACTTACCAACAATTTATCCCTAATTATAATTTATTGCTTTTTAGTTTTTTAAAGAGGTAAATAAATAAATCGCCTGTGCTGTCTGTTGTTCTCGTAATCATAACACAGTGGGCTAAAAATAGGTTTAGCTGGTCTGACGTCGGTGGACGCTGATCTTTTTCAGTCGATTCTACACCATGGAAAAACTTGGTACATTAGCCTGGCCTGGAGGTGATCTGATTTTGGTGGACGCGTAGCCTAAAGAGATCGGGAAAGTTGATAGCACGGTTATCTTTTTTTTATTTCTTGCAACTACGCGACGAGAACTGAAAACAAAAGCTCTCAATATTATCGCCAGGTCTCCTTATCTGAGAAACTCATTACATGTATTGGTCAATGATCACTTTACTGTCTTATTTTGTTCTACACCAAAACTGTGCTTGTGTTTATATTTATAGACAGACAGACAGAGATTTTAGAGCAGTCCCTACAGTCAAGTCATTCTTTTGTTTCCGCCTCATAACCGCCTCCTTCAATGACATTTGCTGATGCTGATGCTAGCGTCTAATCAACGAGATGAGAGTGCTGTTTCGGCACAACCCCAGTTTCAACAGTTCTCGAGCTCAGAAAATGCTTTTTGAACACCTTTCCAAAATACTTTGATGCCCTAGCCTCAATTTCTCAAGATTACCACAGCCTACTGTAATGGCATCGACATTTGTGAGCTCATCACAGGACAGTTCGAACATTGATAGGCACTAGTGGTGTAGGTATAGTGAAAAACATCGTGAGAGTGATGATAGTGAAGACGAAACTTTAGATGCGGATGAACTTGCTCCTAACCCCATTTCCAAAAATCAAATTTCTCCAATGAAGAAATATGCAGAAGTAGATGACAATGACTGATATGCGCTTTTTTATTTTGCCTTTGAGAATCCACCATCAAATAAAGTGCCAGCAAAATTTACACAGATGTGTAAAAGCTATGGAGGCTGAAATAATATTCAAAAATCAGCGCAACACTGAAGTTTAGTATACAGCAGGATGCTGTTTGACGGAGATGCCAAATCTCATCAGATGCTCAATTTTTATGGCATTTATGGCTTTGAAATTGCAAAAGATGACTATATAAATCGCATTAGCTAAAGAATGCTCAACGCCCTTCGGAGCTTCCAAAACACCAACAACGAAGACCTGAACAGAAGACTCACGAAGATTGAAAAACAGAGCAGTTACAAATACCTCACAAAACCTGGACGTAACAGTTACTTGTGTTCTTTAGTTTTAGTTTTGTTTTTGTTCATGAGCTGTTTGTTTCTTATTGAGTACAAAACTTCTTTTGCTCATGGACTGTGTAAGATTTTTAACACAATCATCTGTCAGTGAGGAACAGAGACCACGAAACTGCCATGGTTTTGGGTGGCCTGGGGTGGAATGAACAAAGCCGCCCTCTTGAGAATCACCGGATGCCTTGGTTTAGTGAACTACATCGTGCAAGTGCTGGAACGTCATGTCTTACCCTTATTTTCGTCATGGGGTCATTCAAGTAGTCATCCCCATGCTGTACAAGGTATTTTCTCATAGGGCTAATGCCATTAGAGATTTCTTAAAAAACAAAATCAAGTCTACGTTTGAGTGGTTACCAGTAAACAGCCGGATATGAATCCTACAGGTATGTGAAGTCCCATGAAACAGCAGCTGAAAAAACCCGACTTGGCCCCCGATTCAGACCCTTTGTTTGCAACTCTCTGTGACATTTGAAATGAAATGACAGATAAATGTGTCCAAAATTTAATACAATCGATACCCAAAGGTTTCGTGCACAACACAAAGCCAATGTTCCTGAGCAAAATAACAATGAACACAATAAGTGTTGAGTCCAAGTTTTGTGCGGTATTTGTGATTGCTCTTTTTTATTTATTTAGTAGAGATTTTACTGCACTCGCAACTGCATACGGTCATAAGAGCGCCAAGGAGTGGATGTCAACAGAGAAGTCTTCACAGGGAAGCAGGCTTACTCTGCTCACCTCTCTAGCTTCAACAGCACAAAGTCTGTTTCGACTTTCAGTGCACCCCGGAAATAGCGGGTCCCAAGAGTATGACAAACATGCAAAAGAAGTAGAGGGAAAATGACAATAGTAAGGATTAGGAAAGAAAACACAGCAGTTCCCTGTTGTAGATCAGGCACAGATATGAGCATGACATTGATGAATCAGCCCATTTACAATTTTACTTTGCATGAGCGAGAAATGTCCCCCCTTTGGTAATGGTCTAAAGACACTTCGGTCAGTGGCACCGCCCCAGGGGATATGATTGCTCTGTTTTCCGTTATGTCTGAAACTATTGTGACAAAATATCGCAATAAAATATTGTTTATTGCAAAGACAAAAAATAAATGATTTTGTTATAAATTTAATCCGTTGTTATGATCTGAGATTTTTGTGGTCAAAATATTCCTCTAGTTTGGTCGATTCTGAAAAAGTTTTTCCTCCTACTTCAAAAATACCAAGTCCATCCACTAAAACAGCCACAGAAGGCTGCAAAACCACTTATTATATTATTTTAAAATCATTTATAACCTTATAGATTTTTTTAGAAATGTGTATAATTTCTGTAAATGACATTCCAATATGGCAGCCGTTACCATAGCAACGCAAAAGAATTTTCAAAATTTTACTTCATTACCTAATTCTCCTCTCTATTTATATTGATGCTACTACATTTGTAAGCTTAGTTTCTTCTTCGTAACGAATTTCAAAATTTCCCCGGCATCATGCCATAAGTGTTTTGTTTCTCCTAGTTTTTTTTGGGGGGGGGGGGTTTTCTCTTAGTTTTGTTTTGGGTTTTTTTTTTCTTAGTTTTAGTTATAAGGTTTATCTTAGTTTTGTTTTGGGTTTCTTTTTATTTTATTTTGGATTTCTATAGGGTTATAAACAATGATGTCACTGGCAGTCAGTTCCGTGGTGTGGTTTACCTCAATTTTGTCGTTCGTGGGTATGACAGTCTTGAAAATAATTTGAATTGTGGAGAATAAACACCTGAGTTTATAATGATGCCTTTGTCTTGTGTGAAAAATTTCAGTCCATTATGAATAATTAATGCTATTGTTTATTGTTTCAGAAGGGTTGTTTTCCTCCCCATATGTGTCGTGTCATTTGTAACCTGGTTTGTTATGAAAAAAGTTTATTAAGGCACTAGGTATATTATGCTGTCAACAGCATTTTTTCTATCTTTCCTCTGTGTCTCTTCAGGTTTACCCCTTGGAAGAAGTCTACGACAAGCTGGAAACATTCACGCCGTCGGACACAGACTCTGAGACCAAAGAGCCGAAGACCGAAGCCTTGGAGCAGCCAGTGAGCACACAGGCCAAGCATCCCTCTCCTCTGGAGATCGGCATGTATGTCTTGGTGGCCGTGTTTGTGTTTGCCATCCTGGTGTTCACTGCCAACTGCGCCGTCTTCATGGTGCGCTACCAGCGCAAGCGCTCCCCAAAGGGTTCGCGCGTCGTAACAGGCTCCATCTCTCAGGCCCCCGACTGGGTGTGGATCGGGCGGGCCACGCTCGAGCGCCACGGTGCGGGCAACGCCGGCTGCAACCACGCCCTCATGGCCGAGGAGGACTTCAACGGGAACCAGATGGTTCTGCCCAACTCCCTCCCATCATCTGCGTCGTCAAGGTCGTCGATCCGCCGCCACATACAACCTCCTGGCGTGAGGGGAGGAGGAGGAGGAGGAGGCGGCGGCAAGGATAATTCGAACCCTCGAGCCAGTAGCACCAGCGGGGTCACGGGTTCGTCGGGCTCCTCCTCGGCCAGTAATCGAGACAGTGTGGTGTCCACATACCAGGGTTCGGAGTGCAGCATTCGCATCACGGCCAATCCGCTGCCGGACGAAGACAGCGGTATGGGCTACAACGAGGCCGAGTGGGACTACGAGGCCATGGGCATGACGTACGAGCAGCTGATGGAGTACTTCGACAACTTGAAGGAGTCCTCCGCATAATTTTCATGGCTTGGCTAGGACTTGTTTTTTATCCCCTTTTTGTTTGTTTTCAACCCTCTCCAGCCTATTTCATCCAAAACTATAGGCTTCTTAACCCTTCAAGCCTGCCCCCTCCTTCCCCCTTAGCGGACAAGACCTGTGCACCTGAACCCTCGTAGGTTGACATATAGATTTGTGCAACTACACAATGAGGTGTGCTTTCGTCGGTCGCGCAGAGGGTAAAAGAGAGGGTAAGCTCAAGCATGCGCTTGGGGTCAATTGCGTCAAGATTTTTTTAGAGCTGTGGCACATGGCAGGATCTTTAGTCTAGAGAGGGTTGATGTCATATGAGCTTTCGTGCTGGGCTTTTCTCAGTCTTGGACGTAGTTCTGATATTTTCGGGACGTTTTGATAGCCTTTTGCAAATTTGATGTGACCAGGATCTGAAAAGTATTAGCTGTTTTTGAATTATTTTTTGTTGTTGTTGTTGTGTGCTGATAAGGATGAAAGAGTTTAAAATAAGGATTATCCAGTTTCATACTCATATTATACTACAGTTTGCATTTAGACTTTCTTTACATATTTATTATTATTTACATCATTGTCAAACATCTATCAATATATATTTAACAATTGTAACTTATTTCATTCATAACTAATCAGGTATATTCAAAATTGAAAGCTGAATAGATTGCATGATTTGTCTCTTCCCCCCGTCCCCCCGTCTTGTTGCTGCTACAAACTGCTTTCTTCTAGAGCACCACAACTTACCTCAAGGATTTTTTTTCCTTTAAGTAGTGTATTTCTTTCATGGTTAACCATCACTGTTGAGTAGCTCCTCTTGCTACTTTTTTCTCACAGGAGGGTGAATTTGCATGGGAGGTTGTTCGTCAGTAATGGCATTTAAAGCCTTTATTATTAGTCATGGGTAATAAATTCAGATCAGAATGTCTAGAAATGAGTCTGATTTAAGTGCCTGCTCTTTTCTGTGGACAGCGTCCAGTTTGATATGATCAGAAATACCAAGGTGAAATCTCTTTGCCTGGACTAGTCATAAGAAATAGCCTGCATGTAGTCAGGTCTGGCATTAGTTGGTGCATATTATATCTGTGAGGTGCATTTTGGCTTTTTTTTTTTTTTTTTGAGGGTCGGGAGGTGTACTTTTATGTACTGAGCGCAAGGAGTGATCCCCCCCTCTTTTTTACAGCATTTAAAAACAAATTTATTTTGTTTATTGAGAGAATTGTGATGTCCTTTGTGTTAACAAACGGTTCTGATGACCAGTGATAAAAGTTTCACTCCGTTCAAGCATTCACTTCTTCCTTCTTCTTTTTTATTTTAAATTTTTTAAAAAATTAATAAGAATGTTCGTCTCTCCGGACCAGTGTTTGGTCGTGTTAGGAAACAAAAAAAGTAATCAGCCCCCAGCTTCGTTTTCATGAAGACTTTTCATGTAAATCGGATCCGCAACAACCTTTTGAATCTTTCTTTTTATAATAATATATATGTGGTTGTTGAGGTACACATCACGGCTGTCATGTGTAAGGGTCTGCCTACAGACAGACACAGTTGTACACATTCACATACCAAGGTTGTTTACTTATTTAGCATATTTAGTCTTGTATGGCCACACTCGACGTGCGAGCTCCCATTGTAATGTTGTACATACAGCTGAATGAGTTATTATTTTTATCTTATAATGGCAGTTGTTCAGTGATATCTAAGTCATTATGGTTTACATTTTTACTCAGCGTGTGCTTCTGTTGAACTGCATTGTGCGTGTCAAGTTGTGATTGGGTCATCGTATATGTTTTCTCCGACTTGCTTTTCATATATTTGTGATACTTGATTTGAGCCTTTTGTTGTTGTTTTTTTCCTCCCCCCTCCCGTGCGTGTATGATTTTAGGGGAGACATCATGTTCTTCTGCCAGATCAATTTGTCAGTCTACAATTCAATTCAAAGTCTGCTGTCAACGGTGCACTATTTTACTGTATATTCGATGTTTGTCTTTACCGCTACTTCATAAAACTGTGTTGTTGAGAGGAATTACTGGGAGGAAAAGAAAGAGTTTTTCTTGAAATTGTTTTTCCTTCCATAGTAGTTTAGGGATTTCTTTCTTATTCTTTATCGGATATCTCAGGCAGACTGTTGTGCACCTTGGTGTCTGTCATGTACACCGACAAGACTACAGTTTGAAATAGGCAGGTTTGGGGAAGAATAGTTCTTTGACGAAGAGTTATACCTGAACAGTTAAAACATTTCCGCTTTCAATGGGTGTGTTTTGATTTTTAGGTGTTTTAAAAAAATTAAATGTAATCCCAACTTAAATGTTACAAAAATCTTTCAAAGTATAAAAGAGGGAAAAATACCTGCAGCAGTGTCTTCATATTTAAAAAAAAAAATTTTTGTTGTAACTTTTGACAGTGAATGTGCAGTATATGAATTTGACTTTTGTTGCAATCCTGAACAATCTGTAGTGTTGCTCCAAGTGGATTCTATGGCAGAAGTCACAATTGATAAAGCTGTAATGTATACCTTTGCTTTTTTTAAAAGTCTGTCCTGACAAGATCCACTATCCTGTATCCTTAAACTTAAAGAACAACCACATTATAATTGTCAATGCTTGCAGGAATTTTGGTGAATAATTTGCAGAGACTAGCACTAGCATAGTTATTCATTGTCTCTTTCTCCCTCTCCCCCTCCCTCTCCTTCCTCCCTCCCTCCCAACTTAAAGAGAGGGACAGCATAGTGCTGTGCTTTGAGGTTGTTGGGTTTTTTTCTATTCCTTTGGGCACCTTTTTCTTTGCTGTTGTTCCCCTTTGTCAGCTGGCAGATGTAACTGAAGTTACAAGTCTCAGAGGCGCATTGATTGTATGGTCATATCGTGACTTTGTGCTGCGTACATATACCACGACATTGTATTACCTGTCACTTATCCTTCTATCCTATCTTGTGTATCAATATGCTTTCAAACAACGAGTCTACGTAATATGGTTGCGCTCTGTTTATTATCATCATTATGATTATTTTTAGTCTAATAATTACCTTGTCCCTATCATTTTTCCATATCTTGCTTTCTAGGTGGAAAGATGTAGTTACGGTGCTGATTTATGTTGTAAATTTGTTGTTCTTTGTCAGCCCTGTGTGTGTGTGTATTTTTTCAGCAGACCCGAGGTTATTTGCTGTGTGGCGTAACCCTCTCAATTTTTTTTTTGAACAGTAACTCCAGGAAGGACAAATTTGTGTTCATTGTCGCCCCGTCTGCTTTGACGGTGTTTGCCTGTATAAGTATAAGTAGATAATTCTCAGCTGTCCAAAACAGTGCTTATTTCCGATATCAACAGGGGGCTAGTTGGATTCAAGACAAATGGGACATAACAACATATTTTCCAGTCTTATTAGTCATTTTGATGTCCACTTGTCATTTTGACCTGATTTGGGCATTTAAAAAAATGAAGTCAATACTAGATATTGAATATATTTCAATCTCACATGGTTTTAGAGTGTACAGAAATAGATGTATTTACCATACTACCGACTTCATTGTTTCTGAGGCTTATGTCAGGTGCGAGCATTGCCTCAGTATACTGCCTAAGCTGACAAAACACTTTTTTTTTTTTCAGTTTGGCACCAAAATGTTTTGATTGTCTAAATCGAAAGCCTGATCAGATACCTTACTTGTGATAAAAATTTGAAGTGAAACTGTGACTGGTTTTTGAATAAATTAGAATTCAAATTTCGGAAGAACACTATTTTTCAATGGTTATGCTGACAAAAAAAACAACTCTTTCTCGAACATGCTGTAAATGAGAAAAAAAAGACTAGACGTTTTCTCAACTTACGGCAGTATAAACAGGGACATTGTACGGTGTCCTCAGCACAGGCTGTGCTATAGACAAGTATTGACCCATTTTGGGGAGACGGGATCTGTATTGGTTTGTCGCGAGGCAGTGATTTTTGGCGAAACGCGATGATGGTTACTTACCCGTCAACTCTGCCTGTTTTCAGCCACAATGGAGACCCGCAACTACAGCTGTTTTTAAAACTACAGTCCAGTATTTGAGGCCACAGAAGGGCCAAATATGTTAGTATTTTTGTGTGATTTTACTACCTGGAAGTGTTGGGCCTTTTGAGGTATAAGTGCAAGGTACTTACGACGGTTTATTTGCAGCTTTCGGTAGTCTGCTGTAAATATGGTGGAGAAATATTTTAAAAGATTGTCCATTGTGCTCGGGGACTCCTTTGTGGTCTGAGCCAAGCGACATGAATGATATTATAACTTTGTGTGTACATTACTATGTGTATAGGCATATGTATGTATGTGCAAACATTTGTATACGTATGTATATGAAGGAAAAGAGATCTGTATATTTTCTGCACACTAGATTATCATTGTTCCTCCTCAGCTTTTAGTACTTTGTAAGGGGTTCCTCTCATATTTTTTTAAAAACCGAAGCAAACAATGTTGAAATAGTCCTCAAGAAAATTTTGTTAAAGGAAAGACAAACCTGTAAACCAAAAAATCTGTCTGAAGTCTTTTCATGCGCTTTTGGGAACAGAATTGAGCAAGATTCTAAAAGTACTTGGCTCTGTAGTCCTTGACATTCTAAGTGCTGATTTGAAGACGATCGATCAATAATTGCCATATCTTTCTTTGTGTTTCTGATGAACATTTACGTAGGTCGATAGATGAGTCTTGTCATGATTGAAAAACTAAAATCTGTTTCTTTGATTGATGATCTTCAAAACCCATGTAGAATTTCAGGGTGGAGTGAGAGGTTATAGTGCAACACAAAGCCAGGCGTGAAGAACATGTCATAATATAAAAAAATGTTTAATTTGGTCTCACTTTTGGCCTTGAGAAGCTGACCAAACTAAACTAGGAATGGATTAGAGAGGATCCCTTACTTTATCACATATATAATATGTGCTTACTTGACACAGTTACATGTTAATTAATCTATGTACCTGTGTACCATTCAGTTCTATTCTTTTCACCTTGCCATATTTTTTATTATTCTATGTGAACAAACCTTGATCACTTTTTTATCATTTTTTTTTTCCTGTCTGCCAGAAGTAGGCAGTTGTTGGTGGAACTGTGCGAAATTCCTCACCACATACGAATATAACAAAACGTACAAACTTACACTACTATATAAGACAGAGGGAAGGTTTTTCCATTCTGGAACTGGTTGTGTCACAGTGCAGGTGTGTAGAGCAGGGTTCTTCACGGGTCAGGGTAAATAAAGGATAGGGTTTTATGGGCCGTGTTGAATGTTGACAGTAGTCAAATGGACGTTAGTTAATGTGGTTGCGGTAAAAAGAAGTACATTGACGGGATACTGGTGACTGCATATTAGAAAAAGCAAGTGCAAGACAGACAGACAGACTGACAGAAGAAAGGTGAAAAAAATAGGACCTACCGGTTGTGCCTTCTGACCGTCCCGCAAGTTGACAAATAAATAAATCGATAACCAAATAAAGAATAGATTTTAGAAAGTATAACAGTTTTTTTTTATCATCACGTCCAGCCAAGTGTGTGTGTGTGGGAGGTTAGGAAAGGAACAAGGTTGAAGAACCCTGGTGTAGAGCACCTTTTCTTGGTTTTTGTCCGTGTGTAGCTCATTCTCAATGTATGTTGGTGTATGTGTAGGTGTGTGTATGTGTCAGTGAGTGTGTGTGTGTATGTGTACTACTACTACTTCTATTCACATGCATGCCCCCTGGCTCCCCCGGCTTCTGCTTTGCTTCTTCTCTCACTATGAACAAGTGCGTTTCAGTTTTTGATGGTCTTTCATGAGTTCTGTATCTCTCTGTGTAATGTTGTTTGTGTATCTTCTCATTTGAAAAACCCGTGTTTGTATCCTTCCTGTATTTTCTATGGAGTTCGGAGCCACGTTGGTCTGTTCCTGTTGATTGAATTATCACGTAGATTTCTTCTTAGGAAAATGTTTTGTAAGTTGTCAGTCAAGAAAACACCTTTGAAACTTTTGTTTTTTCCACGTTAATCATAAATTGCTGCTCTTGCACCTTAGTACAATAAGTTCTGCATTTGTGGGTAAATAGAACGTATTGGAATGAGTCATGGTATACAGAGGGAAGAAGCATTTGAATTCTTTTTTTTTTTTTCTTTATCTCTTATTATATAATTGGACGTTAAACTGTTGAAAGGTGTTGCTAAATTTCCCGTTGCTGCCTGATTTTGGGGCTGTTTCCTACGTCAGCGGACTGTTCAAATCATTGTGAATATTTTTAGTGATAAGCCAAAGGGTGCATGGCATCTTATGATGCTGTGGCCGTAACATTTTTCAGGTCACCGTTGTCTGGTTTTTGTATAAACTGAAGCAGGTGGAGATAGTGTAGAAGTGGGTTTTTGATGTTTTTTATCTTCTACGGAGAAAAAGTCAGATTGGGCTATTTGCTACCATCCAGTCTGCTTAGTCTTTCATCAGATTCAGTTGTTTTGTTTTTTTTGCATTGTTGTTTTTTGTATTTTGTATTTTTATGATTTTGTATTGTGTATTTTGTAATATGATTTTCTTTTCTTTAAAAAAAAAAAAAAATTTTCTACCAACAAAGCTCACTAAAAGCTTGCCAAAAAGGAATAGTTTTACAGTTGTTGTGTAGCACTGTTCAGGGAAACTGGCTCCATGGCCTCACAAGAGGTGGTCTTTCAAAAACTTTATAAACTCGTTTGTACCTAGATCCTCAGCTGGTTGTTTTTTGTTTTTTAAGGGTTTTTTTGTGTGTATGTGTTTTTTTAACAAGTTTTTTTTAAGGAACAGATCAGTTCAGGGTGTGATTTTACACACCGCCAACTTGTAGCATTTAAAAACCATTTTGTACAGGTCCTGCATAGTGTGATTAGATAACATTTGTTTGGTGTTCCATAGTGCACTGATTTGCCTTATTTGTGCTTTTAGAATCAAAAGGGCTTTAATTAAGCATGTCATATATAATATCGCTGCTTGACATCAAAATATATGACTAATCAAAAGTTTGGGAAAAGTCCCTTTTTTTTTTCTCTTTCTTTTTTTCTTTATCTTGTATTTATTGACTTCCCTCAACAACTATCATATGGCACGTGATCACAGGAACATTATTACTACACAGGGCAAGGTGAATGTTTGATTTGTTGAAGCTGTTCTTTCTGTCTCGTTCAATAAATGTTTTCTTTCCGAGACTTTCTCTGCTTGTCTTTATGTCCTCTGTCAAGACTTGCTTTTTCTAGTGGAGAGTTTCTTCAGGTTTGTGAAAATTGTCCACTGAGCAATTACCATGCTAAAGAGTACATGAATGTATTGGTATTTTCATTGTTTAGTTTCTAGATATTATTTTGTCTTTTTAGAAAGAAAAGTATTTTTTTTTTTTTAGAAATTTTTCAGAAGGAGCACAAAAACTACCAGGGGTTCTCGGTTGTGAAAACGTCCTTTTGGTCATTTTATCGGAGAGGACTGTTCTATTTAAAATTAATAGTGATGGGTTTTTTTATGAAGTTTAATATTTGCAAACATAATTAGTGCAGTATATAATTTTATAAATGCCTGTGTACCTTTTTGAAGAATTTGGATTAATCTTTACAACCAAAAAGTGTGTCATTTATTATAATATAATATAAGAAATGCGTTTTGACATTTGAACCATTTTTCGACATGATGGAGATTTTTCTTAACATTTGGATTTGGACGTTTCGTCTTTTTTGGAAACTCTCTGCACCACCGACTGACATATTATGATTATTATTATTATTGTTTATGTTGAATCTTGTGATCTTATTTCCTATTCCTATGTTTTGTCCCTCTATTTCATGTTGGTTTTGTTTCTTTTTTGTGTACATGTGGAGGAGGTCATGAACCTTCACAAATATATTACGAATAAACCATTTGTCAAAATACCCTTCTGTGTCTGAGTGTTGTAATTGAATAAAAGTAGTTAAAGTGGGTGGTTGACAGATGCTCTAGTGTGGTTTGCTCCTCCTTTCCTTTCCTTTCAAACATCTATTGTGTGGGTGGTTGGCAGTTGCTCTGGTGTGGTTTTCTCATTCTTTTCTATCAAGCATCTATGGTCCTTATCTCTCCTTCTTTTATGTGTTTTTTACTCTCTTCAGTTTTGTACCACTTCAAATTTTTGGCATTTATATATGTATGATCTAACTGTTGCATGCACCATAAAACTCTTACTAAGACAAAAACATAAAACTGAAACCAATAGGCATGGCCCAATGTGATATCCATTGGCAGGGAGGAAAGTAGTGTGTGACTTTGATGCATTTTTATCTGCCTAATCAGTTTTTAATGGTTATGGTGTACACACACAAACGTACACACACACACACACACACACACACACACACACACACACACACACACACACACACACACACAAGCACACACATACACACACACACGTCCTTTGCCCCCTCCTCTGGGCTCCTGGTTCTTTCTGCAGCCTTTCTTCCACAGTTTCTCCTTGGCTCGCTTTTACTGCTGTCTTTCAACCACACCCCTGATCTTATGGTAGGTAAGATCTAACACCTACCTAGCCTTCTCCGATAACGGCCTAAAATCTTGGATTCCCTTGTGCAAGTTGCGCACGTTTAAGATCCCTTGATGGTCCTGAAATCGATAAGAGTAGGCTTCGGCCGCCACCCGGGCAAAATTCAAAATTTCCTACCCACTGAAAATTGTCCCTCGCGCTCATATGACCTTCAGCAGTTGTGAGCCCCGTAAAACACTTACAATTTTTTAAATAAAATTAATAAATATAATAAATACCCACGCCTGGTGCTGTAGCCTACAGTGTGGCGACTTGGTCGAACGATATACCTACTGTTCAACAAGTTCAAGTCTGGAGAGTGGATGGTTGGCGGGTGCTCCTGTGCAGTTTGCTTCTTCTTTCCTTTCAAACATCTATCGTCTATATCTCTCCCCCTTCTTTTTGTGTGTGTTACTCTCTTGTAATATATCTAATCTTCGGCACTTGTATGACCTTATTTGGTTGCAAGTGCCGTAAAATACTTATTTAAACTAAACTTGTCGAGAGAGAGAGAGAGAGAGAGATACACAGAGAGAGAGAGAGAGAGAGAGAGAGTAGGCGAATATCTTTGACAGTGCATTATACTATGGGGGGTAAAAAAATTGCAGCAAAAATGATTTTGGTGTCATTAGAACCAGAAAACCTTCCTCTATAATATAGCCTACTGAAAATCGGCATGAATCGGAAAGGAGGAAATTTGTTTGAAATGCCGTTTAATGGTATAGTATCGAAAGAGTCAAATATCGATACCCCCAAAAAATCAGAATCTCACGCCATATCTCACAACACACCAATCTTCCAAATTGCACGGGAGTCTGTTCCTTAAAACTTATTTTTCTTATATCCAAAATGGAGGACTTTGAGTCTTAAACCCTCAGAGTTTTACTGGTGAGCTAAAAAAGTTCGAGATTTAATGTACATTGAGTAGTCGATACTAGTAACTACAAAAACTACACCTAGCTATTTACAAAGAGATACAATTGACATGAGAGAAAGCGAAAGGGGGGGGGGGGGGGGGGGAGGAAAAAAAAAAAAAAAGAGAAAGAGAGAAGGAGGAGGGGGGGGGGGGGGGGGGGGAGAAAGAAAGAAAGAAAGAAGAAGAAAAAGAAGAAGACGAAGAAGAAGAAGAAGAAATTTGCAGGCTGGAGAGCAATCTAGTTCATTTTTCTTGCAGGTGCATTTCATTGAACTGCAGTCTAATTTACATAAATATCTCACAATTTTGGAGAAGTACGTGTGGCATTGATTTCTTGTCCATATGAATTGAAAAGAGTTTACCAGAGTCAAGTTTTCAGCCCACGCACTGTGGCTGAAAATGGTATCTGAAAGAGCACTGATAGATTTCAAGAAACTCTCTTAAAGAAAGAATGATACTCTGTTGTATCCCAGCCTTCGCGCTCCAAGAGGCTTCCCTATATCGAACCACCTGGAATGTGATGGATTTTTACACTGATGACCAGAGTATGAGCGTTTTCTTCAGTAGAGTAGGTGTAAGCGCTGCTGTAATCTCTATGCCATGAAATGTCCTTTCTCCATCTGGAGTCCTTATATTGTGGTCAAAGTTAAATGCCTCAAACTGAGTACAGCTGTGTGCTTAGTCGTGAATATTTCCAGTGAGTAGCCCAACAGCAGCATTCAAGTTAATTTTTTTTAAATACAGAAAAACAGTTGTGGCACCAAACGAATAGGTGGAAAGAAAGACAGAACAACTAGCTGGGGGAATGATGAAACCAGAGAAGCAATTAGAATGAAAAAGAAGAAATTCAAGAAATGGCAGAAGTCAAAGACCGAAGAAGACTATATAGAATACAGGAAAGTGAGAAGAGAGACCAACAGAATTATCAAAACTGCTAAAGAAAAATAATGGACAATATTATATGGCGAGAAACTGACCAAAATCTGCAAGGAAAGCCCAAGAGAATTTTATAAAAGTGTGAAGAGCATGCGGGTAGGGAAAGACCCATCCAACCTGACATGCATTATAAACGACAAAGAGGGAAATGCCATTCTCGGCAAACGTGCAATTAAGAAAAGATGGGGAAATTACTTCCAAGAACTTCTCAACCCAGACGCTTGCCACGCACAACAAGAAGAGTTCCAACCATCATATGGAGATCAAACAGAACCACCAATACCGGTACTACCCAGTGAAATTGAAAAAGCACTCAAGACCAGCCCCAAGAACAAAGCCCCAGGACCAGATGACATCACAACGGAAGCCATACAACAAACGCGACTGCACAACATGCACAGGCATCTCCTTGTTAAGCCACTCAGGGAAAATATACGCAAAGATACTAGAGCAGCGCATACGACCTATAGTAGAGAGAAATCTGAGCAAAGCTCAGTTAGGATTCCGAAAGGGAAGAGGATGCACGTATACTGTATTTGCATTACGACAGATATGCGAGAAAACAATCGAACACAACAAAGAATCTAACATCGTCTTTGTAGACCAGGAGAAGGCTTTTGACAGAGTAAACCATGCAAAACTTTGGAAGACACTCGAAAAGTATAGCGTCAGAATACAAATGTTAGATAATGTCAGAGCTCTATATACCAACAGCAGAAGCTCATTAAGAACGAAGGAAGGCAATACAGACTGGTTCAAAGTAAGATCTGGAGTACGACAGGGATGCGTTCTATCTCCCCTCCTGTTTATAATACATTGTATATATGGACACAATAACGCAAGGCGCAAACCAAAGCCCAGAAAGCCTAAATGAATTTCTGTTCGCAGACGACCAATGTCTTATTCATCATGACCAACAAAGCACCCAAAATCACACTACCGAACTCAGCAACAGCGGTGAGAAATTCAACATGGAAATAAGCACATCGAAAACAGAAGTTATGAAAGTGAGCCGAAACCATAGTCTCCTGAAAATCCATGTCAATAGTAAACAACTGAAACAGGTGAAGGAGTTATCTTGGCAGCACTTTTTCTGAAAACGGGTCCTTAGACAGGGAAATAGAAATGCGAATTCAAAAAGCCAACGCTGTCACCTACCAGCTCGCACACCTCCTATATCATCCAAACATCTCCATGGACACAAAGAGACAGCTTATCACCTCAATATTCATACCAAAATTATGTTATCAGTGCCTGACCTGGACTTTAAGCAAAACCCATGAAAGCAAAATCACCGCATGCGAAATGAAATGTCTCCACAAAACCATTAACATCACAAGACGAGACAGGAAGAGAAATGAAGAAGTAAGAGCAGCTATCGGCACTGAGTCCTGCCAGCGTTACATAGAAAGACAGAGAATAAAATGGTTCGGCCACCTGTAACGCACGTCACCTGACCAGCCAGCCTCGAGAGCCTACAACACCAAGCACTTAGGCTATAAAGGAAGAGGAAGGCTGCGCAAAAGGTGGATTGGGGGTGTCAAGGAAACCATAACATCACAACTGAAAGAGCTGCGGAGCTGGCCTACCATAGAAAACTGCATCTCCCCTCGACGCTTAACGGCAACAGAGGATGAAAAAGTAAAAGTAAATTAAAGTATAGGCCTACCCAACAGCAGCATTCAAGGTAAATCTTTAATTGAGCCTCTCGATATGGGGAGCAGAGACCCAGTGCGTTCAGTGAGTTCACAAGAGGCCTCGGGGAGAAGTGGCGATAAAAAAATACACAATTTTGTTCTAGGAAGGTAGCAATCATAGATCTCGGTCTGCTGGCAACTATTTTCATACGTGGATTGTACATGTAGTATATTGACAGTTTCAAGAAACAGCACAAAAAGGCCACCAAGTTAGCGCGTGTTCTTCTCCATAAATATATCCAACTAGATTTACTGCTGGATAGACTTCTTTTTCAAAAGTAGATATCTGATAAATTGACGAGCTGCCTTGACAATTTGCTTCTGCCTCGCATCCTTAATGACCTTTGGTGTTTCATAAAATTCTCGTATTCCTCATTGAAGAAGCCAATTACTGAAATGTAACAACATCTACTCCCCATCAACCTCCGCTATTCATTATGTTATGCTTTCCCTTGCACGCCAGCAGTTTTTCTTTTTCGGGTACTGTGGTCCATAATGTAATGTACTTTGCCCTTCACCTCGTGCAGATGGTCTTCCAAAATGATCATCAGATTCCGAATATTGATCTGCTCAAATTAATTTGCCTCCAGACAGGATACAACATAATGAACGGCATCTTTCTTTAAAATCTCGAGGTCTCAATGACGTCCTTATTATTTTTTTTAAAAGATCCATCTTCTAATGTAACAGAACATGGTGGCTGCTTGAAAATTTTGAAGTCGCAACCGAATGTAGGTTAAAAACAACCCAGAATAGTCGTTGTCCGTTCGTACTTTCTTTATTGTGTCCTGACTTTGGGTCTCGGTTCACAT